CGTTGACTCGGGTAGCATTCCGCCGTCGCACCGCGTAGAAAGGAAATTCCAGCAAGGAAGGAATTCGCTTGAATCAATTTCACTATATCCAGGTACAAACAGAGAAAGAATAAATAGTTATAGCTAGCAAGGACCTTGGGAATAAACCTGGGAACAACCAAGGATGATCCCAAATAATTCCAAGCAACAGAACCAACCTGGCTGGACAAAACAGCAGGTGGTAGGTTGGTAAACAACCTCTGGTTCTGTTTTTCCAACCTGGGAAAACAACAACCAGGTTCAGGTCCTAAAAACAGAACCTGTTTTGTCTTTGCCCAACCAGCCAAATGCTGGTTCCGCTGGTTTCCCCTGGCCCTGTAGCATCCAGATACAGACAAAAAACATCCAACCTTCACCTAAATTGTACCCCTATAGTGCCTGCCCTGCTACACTTTAGTCAACCAAACAAAACAGTACAATTTCGAGTTGGATAGAACTGAATCTGCGCAATCAAGTAAGCCGAACCGCAAAGCTTCCATCTTGGGTTCCTTTGCGAGCTCGTCCTTTCTGCTTGTACTGTTCATAGCGCGTACAATGTTATGCCAAAGCGCACAATGCGTGAGTACCTGCAAATGCTTCAAGCGAGAATTGCGAAAGCAAACAAACACACGAACATTCCATTCAAACCGCAAATGCATTCGCACACGCATACTCGTACAAACAGACGGCAGGACGTCGTGCAATGTGAATTTGCACCCAACACACTCTCCCTCAGTTTGCTGGCTGCATCCCCATTATTCCATACAAGTTCATGCTCATTCCACTCATGCGCACACAACGCCAATGTGGCTCATTCGCAAGCCTCTTGGTGAGGAAGTCTGCTGGCTGCTAGTGAGTCTTGATGTAGATCGGATTCACCGTCCCCCTCTTCACCTCCTTACGCAGCCAGTGCCACTTGATACGCATGTGCTTATTGAGCCCATGAAGCACAGCGTTCCTGGCCATTCCAAGAGCTCCCTTGCTATCACAAAACAGCGGCGTAGCAACCTTTTGCTGCTGGCCAATCTCCTCCAACGACCTCCTCAGCCAAATCACCTCCTTCACCCCATGAAAAATTGCCATGTACTCTGACTCCACGGAAGAGAGTGCTGTCTCCGTGTGCTTCTTTGACCTCCAACTAACCGGTCCTCCCCCAACTACATAGATGTATCCTCCCACAGATGAGGAATCCTCCTTCTCAGAGGCTCACGTAGCATCGGTAAAGCAAGTGAGAAAGAGCTTGCCTTCTCCAAGCCTCTCCCCCTTCTCTTTCAGCACCTCAACCCCTTTCTGTTTCACATGTGCAGATACGGAGTATTGAACTCCAATGCTTGGGTGAGAGTTCAGATACTTCACCACACGCTCAGCTGCATCCACCTGCTCCTCTGATGGATTCTGCACCACCCTAGCTAGCTGCCCAACCGAGAAAGAGATGTTGGGCCTCGTGTGAACTGCTGCATACAAGAGGCTGCCCACCAAGGACTGAAATTGCTGCTGCTCCTCGGCTTCAACCCCTTCATCCTCTGCAGTTTTCACAAGCTTGAATTCTGCTGGCAGGGGAGTTGCAACCTTGCGCTCATTCTCAATTTCGTACTTCTCCCCCAGCTCCTTGATGAACTTCTCCTGGTGCAGCTTCAACCACCTGTGATCTGGATCCCTCTCTACGTGCATCCCGAGGTAGTATTTTACCTCCCCAAGGTTCTTGCACTTGAAGTTCTCCATCAGCTGCTGCTGCACCTTCTCGATCTCCTTCATGCTGCTGCTAAAGAGAAGAATGTCGTCCACATAGACCAGAAACAGCACCAGCTTCTCCCCCTCCCCCTTGAGAAAGAGGCTCTCATCACAGCTGCTGGTCCTGAATCCCATCTCCTCTAAAACAGCTGCCAACTTCTGGTACCAGCAGCGTGGCGCCTGCTTCAAGCCGTAGATGGACTTTTTCAGCTTGCACACCCTGCCCATACCATCCTCATACCCAGGTGGCTGCGTCATGTACACCTCCTCCTCTAAAATCCCATTGAGGAATGCCGTAGATATATCAATTTGAATGATGAATTTCCCACTCACGGTTGCATCTGCGAACAAGACACGGAGGGTAGGGGGTTTGGCAGTGGGAGCAAAGATCTCATTGAAGTCCCGCTTCTCCTTCTGCATAAACCCCTTAGCCACCAGCATACTCTTGTAGATGGTGACCTGTCCCTTGTCATCGGTCTTGATCCTTAGCACCCATTTGCACTGTACTGCTTTCTTCCCCTCCGGCAGCACCACCAGCTCCCATGTCCCATTCTCTAGCAAGCTCTGGTATTCAGCATCCCTAGAAACCAGCCACTTCTCCCTATCCGGTCCAGCTAATGCCTCTTCCATGCTAGCTGGTTCCTCTGGTGCAGGGGTAAGAAAACAGTAGGCAGGTTCATCCTCCTCGTCTGGATCATAGCCATGCGGTAGAATCAGCAATGCCTCCTCGGTCCCAAGCTGCTGCTCCGCTACATCAGCTCCTGCAGTCAGCTTCTTAGTAGCCATACGGGTACGTCCTGGCCTGGAGACGGGTGTCTCCCATCCCTTCATAACGACACCCTTCGGCTTCTTAGTTTTTCCCTGCTACTGCTCTCTCCCCTCAGATCCAGCAGCTCCACTAGTGCCAGTCTCCACATCATTTTCTCCACCAGCAGGTGCCTCCTGTACCTTCTTTCCATCACCACCCTCTGCAGCTGCCTCCTCTCCCTCCTCCCACACACTAGGAGTCAGGTCCAGCTGCATGGTGATCTGCTCCATTTGCTGGGACACCCTGGCCTCCGACTGTTTCTCCCAGCTCCCATACATCATGCCCTTAACAAACTTCACATCCCTGCTGTCAAACAACACACCCTTGGAAGGTTCCCACAGCAGCCATCCCTTGCTCTCAGCAGCCAGCCCCAAATGCACACACCAGATTGCACCCGACTTGCCCCCACGTCCAGGGGTGCCCTTCCTTCTCACAATACCAGCAACTCCCTTTCATTTTGCCACCAGCACCCGACTTGCCCCCACGTCCAGATTTCGCACCGCGACCCCAACCGGTACCTCCTTGTTGGTCGTTGGAGTCGTCGTCCTTCTTTGCACCGCGTCCTGCACCACCGAAGCCACGTCCTCTGCCACGTCGGCTTCCTTGCATCCCATAGCCGCTGCTGCCGTCGTCTCCACCCCTCAGTTGGCGGCGACGGAAGTCCTCCAGAATTTTTGTCCGCACCCACTCAAGTGTCCACGAGCTCTGGTTCTGCGGCAGGCTCAATCCGCTCGTGAATTGAAGCCACGATTTTGGCAGCAGCGAGAGCATCTTCAGGCACTTGGTCTGCTCCGGGTAGGTGATTCCCGCGGTGCGTAGAGATCACACATCTTGTCCAGGATAGGTTGCACCGGCTCTCCCTTGCTTAGGCGCAACGCGGACAGCTCCCTCTCCATCATGAGCGTCGCAGCTACGGAGGTAGGGGCGTGCAGCTCCTTCACCACAGTCCACGCCTTCGGACCGCACTCAACCTCCCGCAGCAGGTGCATGACGTGGTGACGCTGGTTCAGCTCCAAACTCTGCGACATCAAATAGAAGCCAGCCGAGGAGCGCTCGTCCCAATCTTTCTGCAGCGCGGGGTCACTCGGTCTAGGCTCCTCCCCAATCATTAGTTTCAGCAAACCGATCTGACGGAAATAAAGTTGCATTTTCCAGGCCCAATCATCATAGCCCTCACCATTGAACTTCTCGACAGTGAAGTTTTTCAGCACCTCCTTCATCAGCGAGCCCTGGCTTGTTCGTGCTCCCCTTGGCGCAGAAACACCAGAATCTTGGCTGCCGCTACGATCTTGGGCTGAAGATTCACCAGCTACCGCCGAGGTGTTGCCCGCCATAGCTACCTATAACGAGGATCACTATAACGCAGCTCTGATACCAGCTTGTTGGTGTAAGGGCCTAATAAACTCAAGTTATTAAGAATTTATCACCCTTTAAACCTCTCCTCGGGGTCACCTCCAAGGGTCCTTGGGTGCCTGGTACAAGACCAGCCCCTATCCTCGGGTCCGAGTTTGTAGAGAGAGGGATCAAGAGGGACTTAGTCAAAACAGCAAGAGTATCTTGAACGTCACGCAGCGTATCGTGCAGACCGTCGACCGGATTAAGCTGAGAATTTCCTATATCGAATCTCACCCCAAGAGCTTTAAAATGAACCAAGTTGCCTCGCGAAAAGTTCTGCCAGTACGAAGTTATGGCTCGGACAGCGTTTGCCTAGCGTTGGAGTGCTAGCGTACTAGCGTTGACTCGGGTAGCATTCCGCCGTCGCACCGCGTAGAAAGGAAATTCCAGCAAGGAAGGAATTCGCTTGAATCAATTTCACTATATCCAGGTACAAACAGAGAAAGAATAAATAGTTCTAGCTAGCAAGGACCTTGGGAATAAACCCGGGAACAACCAAGGATGATCCCAAATAATTCCAAGCAACAGAACCAACCTGGCTGGACAAAACAGCAGGTGGTAGGTTGGTAAACAACCTCTGGTTCTGTTTTTCCAACCCAGGAAAACAACAACCAGGTTCAGGTCCTAAAAACAGAACATGTTTTGTCTTTGCCCAACCAGCCAAATGCTGGTTCCGCTGGTTTCCCCTGGCCCTGTAGCATCCAGATACAGACAAACAACATCCAACCTTCACCTAAATTGTACCCCTATAGTGCCTGCCCTGCTACACTATAGTCAACCAAACAAAACAGTACAATTTCGAGTTGGATAGAACTGAATCTGCGCAATCAAGTAAGCCGAACCGCAAAGCTTCCATCTTGGGTTCCTTTGCGAGCTCGTCCTTTCTGCTTGTACTGTTCATAGCGCGTACAATGTTATGCCGAAGCGCACAATGCGTGAGTACCTGCAAATGCTTCAAGCGAAAATTGCGAAAGCAAACAAACACACGAACATTCCATTCAAACCCAAATCCATTCGCACACGCATACTCGTACAAACAGACGGCAGGATGTCGTGCAATTTGAATTTGCACCCAACACTCTCACCTGCCCTCCACCCTCCACCCTCTCACCTGCCCTCCACCCTCTCACGTGCCCTCCACCCTCCACCCTCTCACCTGCCCTTCATCCTCTCACCTGCCCTCCACCCTCCACCCTCTCACCTGCCCTCCACCCTCTCACCTGCCCTCCCCCCTCTCACCTGCCCTCCACCCTCTTACCTGCCCTCCCCCCTCTCACCTGCCCTCCACCCTCTCACCTGCCCTCCACCCTCTCACCTGCCCTCCACCCTCTCACCTGCCCTCCACCCTCTCACCTGCCCTCCCCCCTCTCACCTGCCCTCCACCCTCTCATCTGCCCTCCCCCCTCTCACCTGCCCTCCACCCTCTCACCTGCCCTCCCCCCTCTCACCTGCCCTCCACTCTCTCATCTGCCCTCCCCCCTCTCACCTGCCCTCTGACCCCCACCTGTCATCCGTTCATCTTATGATTCCTGTCACATGCCAGCATCTGCCGTTACACCCTCTCATTGCTGCACCCTCCACTCTGCTGACTGTTTGTGTGCCATCAAAGTGTGTCGTGCCACATGTCTTACCCTCACGGCTGCCTGTCACCATGCCCGCTCTGCCCCTCCTCTGCCTGTGACCGTGCCGGACTTGCAGCAAGGCGCGATTCAACTTCCTCTCAGGCCCGCTGCCCTCCGCGCTGGTTTCGCTGCCCACACTCTCCAACCTATACTGCCGCTATCCGTACTCATCTCCCACTCCCTGTACACCTCCAGTTGCATGCCATTTGCTCCTTTCCTCCTTTCCGCTGCTTGCTTCGTGCATCCGCCCTACAATATCCGCATGTGCCCTAACCCGATGCCATGTTGTGTTGCAAGGCATGGCACTCTGCCCCGCACCACCTCACTGACCTGTCTCTCTGCACCCCACCCCCCCATCCCCCCCCCCCCCCCCCCCCCCCCCCCCCCCCCCCCTCGCGTGCTGCTGTGCGGCTGTGCCCCCCCCAGCAATCTGGCCTACAACTACCTCACCGGCACCGTGCCGGTCACGGTGGGCGCGGCGCTCAAGTCACTCTACATAGGGGGCAACTTCCGGTCGGGCAGCATCGGCACGCTCACGGGCGTGAGGTGCTCCGCGGCACTCAACTGCCTCACCTTGCAGGGCAGCTGCACAACCGGCGGCGTTCTCAACCGCGCCGGCTGCAACATCTGCGGCAGCGCCAACACGCAGCGCACTCTGTTCAGCAACGGGCTGTGCGTGCCCAACGCCACGGCGGCGGTGGCGAGTAGCGAGACGCCCACGCTGTCCATGCCCATGATGCCCATGTACTGCACCGGTGTCACCATCGACGCTGCTGCAGGTGATGCCCTGCTGCCTTGCATGACTGCCATGTGCCACGCCACCACCATGCACGCTGCTGCTCATCAGCCGTCATCCATAGTCAGTCACACCGCTGCCTCCCCTCTTGTCACTCTCTCTGCCCTCCGACCTCTGACTTACCCATTTCGCTCCTTGTCCTCTGCACCTTCCCCTCACCCGTACCTGTCTCGCTGTGTGCCAGTGACGGTGCTGGGCAACATAAAGACGGCGGCGTTCACGGCACTGCTCAAACCCACGGCACTGCTCAAACCCAAGGCGACGGTGGGCAGCGGCAGTGTGGCGCTGACGGACTAGACGGTGACGGGCGGCTACTGCACGGTTGAGGGGCAGGCGCCTGTGCCCAGCTCGTGGTCCGGCGTGCTCTGCAACTCCCTCGGCCAGCCCGTCAACCTGTCAGCACCCTCGCTCCCTCACCCTCTGCTGCTCTCTTTGCTTCCTGTTGCATCATCTGCTTAGATGGGCGCATCGTCTGTCTCGCTGTCTGTCCCCGCACTGGTGCTTGCGACCATGGCATCACATAACCCGCCTCCCGCTGTGCTGCCCCTCCTGAACCCACTGTTGCAGGAAGCTGGAGAACCAGAAGCTCACCAGCTCTCTGCACGCTGACATCAGCAAGCTCTTTACGCTCACCACGCTGTGAGTGCTGCCCACATTCTGCTACTCTATGCTAAGTGCCGCCCACATTCTGCTGCTCTGTGCCGAGTGTCCCTCCCCCTTTGGTCATCTCCTCCCCACGCCATGTGTTGCTGCCGGGCAGGGATGTGAGCTTCAACTTCTTCCGAGCCAACATCGACACCTGGGCCTCGCCCCTCAAGCTCGCCACCAACCTGCTCTCGCTGTGAGTGCTCTGCTCAAGTGCTATTGCTATGAGTGCTTTGGTGAATTGCGCTTGCTCTGAGTGCGCTCTAATGAAATGCTATCTCTGTGAGTGCCTTCCCAACCTGCTACTGCCGGGAATGCATTGCTTGCCACGATGCAGTCCACATTCACCTCCTCTCTCTCCACTCCTCCCTGCCCCTCTCTCTCTCCCCGCCCTACGTGCAGTCGCCTTAACAACAACTACCTCTTCGGCTCCGTGCCTCTCTGGCTCGTCTCCTTCGCCAAGCTCACCAACTTGTCAGTGCCCACTCTACCCCACCCTGCCCAACCCTGCTCCACCCTGCTCCACCCTGCCCCACCCTACCCCACTCTGTCCCACCCTGCCCCACCCTGCCCCACCCTGCCCCACCCTGCCCCACCCTGTCCCACCCTGCCCCACCCTGCACCACCCTGTCCCACCCTGTCCCACCCTGTCCCACCCTGCCCCACCCTGCCCCACCCTGCCCCACCCTGCCCTTCCCTGCCCCACCCTGCCCCACCCTGCCCCACCCTGCCCCACCCTGCCCCACCCTGCCCCACCCTGCCCCACCCTGCCCCACCCTGTCGCACCCTACCCCACCCTGTCGCACCCTGCCCTTGCCTCCCGAGCCATCCTCATGAACCCTTGCCACTGCTGTTCGCCCCTAGTCTCGTGCTGTTTGCCATCCGCTTTCCATGCAACCTACCCTCTCGCTCCGTACTTATTTATCTGTAATCTATTGTTCACACCCTCGAAGTGCCTTTTTCCTCCCAATCTCCCTTCTCCCGACCTGCAGCAAGCTGAGCATGAACGAGCTCACTGGCACGTTCTCCGCACCCATCTCCACGGCACTGAAGTGCCTCATGGTGGATCAGAACTTCCTGGGCGGCACGTTCCCGGCCAATAGCGCGACTTACAGAACGGCGTACTACAACTGCATCACCACCTACACCACGTGCCCCGCCGTCTACCCCCAACCTGCCGCAGCCTAGCTACGGGTGCCAGTTCTGCGGCACCACCAATGCGCTGGGCACGGCGTGCATGGGCAACCCGTGTGTGCCCGTCACGCCCACGCCCATCACGGCGATCAACAAGTGGAACCCCGTCCCCGTCATGCGCTGCGACCCTGTGCCCGTCCAAGCACCCAAGGTAACCCTTCCACGCCAACCTTCCGCTGCTGTGGCTCCTTCGCTTCTTGGCTCCTCGGCAGGAGGGTTTGCTAGGGGGGGCTGCTTAGCTTATTGAGTCACAAGGATCTCCACCTCTAAAACGCCCTCTCCCTCACTCGCTTTTTGTTTGAACCGTTCTCCCAACCGCAATGGCCACCCTTATGCACAATACCTCCTGCGCTCCTCTCCTCCCCACGGTGCGTCGCAGCGGCGACGCTGGTGGCGATGGCACCGGGGCTGTGCAGACGTGCACCAAAGCGGGGCAGGCCTACATCCCCGGCACGCTGCCCCTCGCCTTCTGCAAACCCGCCGGCATGGTCCTCGACATGTACGTTCCCCTGCTCGCCCCTTTGCTCCCCCCCCCCCCCCCCCCCCCCTTGACATGATCTAAAGCTCAAACGCGTATTCGGTTAGATTCCAACATGTTCAACTGATGTTCGCCATTTTTTTGTGGTTACGCGTACAGTGTTAGCATCTAAAATGGCATGCCAAGCTGGCGAACCAAAACAATATCCTGAGAGTTGGGTCTAGCGCGCGGATTAGGTTTAGCTTAGTAGCGGGAGTCTATTAGCGTCTGAAGTGAGGGTGTCTTTGCTTGCGTCAGATTTGTGTGTGAGGCCTGGTTGGGTTTGGGAGGTGCATTGCGGTACTGTGGGTTTTGGGTGGTGTAAACTGGTTGGGCAAACTTTGCGAAATCACTGCTGCGATTGGAATCCAACACAGATCAGATCGAACGTGTGAAACGCGAGAATCTGCGAACAGTTTCCCACACCACCGATTGTGTTTCCCGTCAGCCCAGGATGAAAAATCCTAACACAAAAACCGTACTGACTGTGTTTTCCGTCATTCTCCCACCGATTTTGCGTTTTTTTTACCAGCTCTCCAGCCCTAGCAATGTCTAGACAGACTTTACGAACCGGACATGTTCGGGTTCGCCCCGAACAAGTGATGTTTGGATAGTCTGTAAAGTATTCGCACATGCAAAACGAACCTCGAACACACCTCGAAAAATGTTCGGCCGAGCCGAACATGTTTGGTTCGGCCGCAAGACATATTTGGCAACGTTCGGCGGCCCAACCATGTTTGAGTTCGCCCGTGCATTTCAAACTTGAGTGCTTGCGACGGGGGTGCATGCCCCATACCCCATGCCCCATGCCTCGTCCCCGTGCCCCATGCCCCATGCCCCGTGCCCCTTGCCCCATGCCTCGTGCAAGCACCATCCCCCCTGGGCTACCTTCAAAGCCGGCAGATGCGCACATCATATCGTGCGCTCACGCTTCTGCCCTCACATAGAATTGTTGGTCGCAAAACGCCACTCCGAAGGCTGACCCGACCTTGACGAGGCCTTCGCGAGGCCTTTACGCGACCCTGACGGGCTCTCGGCTCGTTTTCTGCTTCACGTGCCCTTCACGGGGCTTTCACAACCTTCACGGGCCTCAAACAGGCTCTACACCCGAATTCTGCAGACCAGGCCCTTTGCGGGGCCTTCACGGGCCTTTGACGCGAGTTTCACGAAGAAATTTCAAGTCACTGGGCTTAACTTAGACAATACAGAACCTTGACGGGAATTTCTCTCCAACACAAGAAAGTTTCGATCAATCAGGTTTGAACACAAATTCCAACTGAGGGATTTCAATGTGTTACTTCAACAACCTCGTACAACAAATATATAGGTCCAACCAAGGTACACAAATGAGCTAGGTAACCAAACGTGTCCAACACATTACGTGGCGCCTCGTTTCACCCCGCGTCGCACACGCAACCTTTCTCCACCTTCGTCGAACGCGCATGAAGTCCGCATTTGGTTCCTTGCTGAACACGCCACAGTTGACCCACACAATTTCTCCCCGTCAAACCCTTTCTTCCCCTTCTAGCCATTTCTCCCCCGTCACTTCTCCTTCACTCCTATTTCATCCCCGTAGACCATAACTTTGTAAGAGACTAAGGACGGAGTCTACGAAGATTAGGTGCCTAAATTTCTCACAATCGTTGGCTTAGAATTCTGGACATAAACGTCGACTTCCCAAGAAACACCATAGACGAATATTGCACCGTTAAAACATCACCAATTTCGGATATGTTCTGGCTCTGGTCTGTGGCTATACTTTCCAATTTGAATCGTACAAAAAGGTGAAGTATTTCTTGAGTTATCAATTTCGGCGCACTATGGGGTATGCTGCCATAGAATCTTAACTCAATCACAAGAGTCTCACAATTTTACACAAGAAAGTTCGAGTAGCACTAAACCAGGTGGGAAGGGAGAGGAGGACGAGAGGGAAGGTCCCCAAGGAGTCCCCAACCATGGAAACCCCATAAGCACACCGAATCCATTCCCTATAGGAACCCCACTTTGACCTTTGTCGCTTTCCCAACCTCCACAATCCACCTCACCCAAGTTGGCCAAACTTGCCAACCCAATTTGGTTTCTCCCAACCACTTGGCAGCATCTACAGTGATGGGGACGAAATTGCCCAACCCCCAAAAGTCTGTACCTCTTATGGAGTCAACCTCACAACTTCCCTTAGTCACCACAACCAAATATCAAAAGCATACGAACTTCAAATGTTCGTAACTTTCTTGTTCGTGCTCCGATTAAAGCAATACTTGGCTCGACGGAAAGCTCTTGAGCAGAAGAGTCACTTCAGATATCTGCTCAAGCCAAATAACATCCACACTCACTCAGAAAATCCAAACCACACTAAACAGAAATTCTTGCACATGCTCACACCACGCATGCAACGCACGAACATATGATGGGAGGCAGACAGACGTGAATGCAGATGATAGCATCACATAACAAACTCCCCCTTTGGCTGCCCACCATCATCCCACATGCCCTAGCTTAAGCATGCACACTCAATGCACACTCATTCCAGCAAGCTTCATCCCCTTCCAATGTTCCTCCAACTGTCATCATAATGGACAATCATCTCCTTCCAACATCCCACTTCCAACATCTCCTCTTTGCTCAGTTCTGCAGCACCCCTCTGCAGCCTCAGATTCACAGCACTATCCACCAAACCATCTTATTGTAGCTCCATAGCAATACGCTATCTTATCTTCATCCATCTGTTCAGCCACACTTCCAGACGGTACCACACTTGGCGTGCCACGGCTCGCATAGGTCAGCCTGTTAGGAGGGCGCACATCCCTCCTAGGACGGTCAGACGAACGTTGGGTACGTGGTGGAGCATCTTACTGCTGCTGCTCCACCTCAGATTCTCCCCCATCCTCAGTCACTCCAGAGATGTTCTCCTCTGAGACAGCGACCTGCACTTGCCTCGAAGGCCTCTGCACCTCATCAGCCTCAGTGATCAGCGGTGCAGTAGGAAGTTTCTGCTGCTGCTGCTTCCACTCCTTATAGTACAAGGATTCAAGGAACTTCACATCCCTTGACACAGTTAGCTGCTGGCTGGTCAAGTCCCATATCAACCAGCCCTTGTGACCCCTAGCAAGCCCCAAGTGCTCACCCCATCTCCTAGAAGCCTCCAATTTTCCCCTCTTCTCCGTAGGCTCTCAGCATGTTCACAGCTGGTGCACCCCCATACCACTTGGTGTAGGGAACCCACTGCTTGTCCCCTACACTCGCCAGCTAATGGGTGCAAATTCACATTGCACAACATCCTGCCGTCTGTTTGTACGAGTATGCGTGTGCAAATGCATTTGGGTATGGATGAAATTTTGGTGTGTTTGTTTTCTTTCGCAATTTTCGCTTGATGCATTTGCAGGTACTCGCGCAATGTGTGCTTCGGCACAACATTGTACGCGCTATGAACAGTGCAAGCAGAAAGGATGAGCTCGCAAAGGAACCCAAGATGGAAGCTTTGCGGTTCGGTTAAATTGATTGTGCAGATTCAGTTCTATCCAACTCGAAATTGTACTGTTTTGTTTGGTTGACTGTAGTGTAGCAGGGCAGGCACTATAGGGGTACAATTTAGGTGAAGGTTGGATGTTGTTTGTCTGTATATGCATGCTACAGGGCCAGGGGAAACCAGCAGAACCAGCACTTGGCTGGTTGGGCAAAGACAAAACATGTTCTGTTTTTTAGGACCTGAACCTGGTTGTTGTTTTCCCAGGTTGGAAAAACAGAACCAGAGGTTGTTTACCAACCTACCACCTGCTGTTTTGTCCAGCCAGGTTGGTTCTGTTGCTTGGAATTATTTGGGATCATCCTTGGTTGTTCCCAGGTTGATTCCCAAGGTCCTTGCTAGCTAGAGCTATTTATTCATTCTCTATTTGTACCTGGATATAGTTCATTTGATTCAAGCAAATTCCTCCCTTCATGGAATTTCGCTTCTACGCGGTGCGACGGCGGAATGCTACCCGAGTCAACGCTAGTACGCTAGCACTCCGACACTAGGCAAACGCTGTCCGAGCCATAACTTCGTAATGGCAGAGCTTTTTGCAAGGCAACTTTGTTCATTTTAAAGTTCTTTGAGCGAGCTTCGATATAGGAAATTCGCAGCTTAATCCGATCGACCGTCTGCACGACACGCTGCGTGACATTCAAGGTACTCTTGCTGTTTTGACTAAGTCCCTCTTGATCCCTCTGTCTACAAACTCGGACCCGAGGATAAGGGCTGGTCTTGTACCAGGCACCCAAGGACCCTTGGAGGTGACCCCGAGGAGAGGTTTTAAGTGTGATAAAGTCTTAATAGCTTGAGATTATTAGGCCCTTACACCAACAACAATAACCATAGGTAGCGTGTTGGGCTGAATCATGTCGCGCAGTAGCTTCGACGCCTTCGGTCCTGAATCATCGAGCTCCACCAAATCTCTGATGTGCTGAAACATGTCGTTATTGACCGACTGGAGGATGAGGTCGTACAGCATCTCGCTCTTCTCAATCCACTGATCGCGGGCATCGCCTTCATCCGGCATCTTCTCTTCACCTATTGCAAGTTTCAGCAGCTTGTAGTGCTTAAACGCACTCCGCATACGCCCGCTCCATTCCTCATAGTTGGAGCCATCCAATGCCTCGATCTTGGATGGTGGCGGCTCCCTCTTCTCAGCTGCATTTCCACTCCCTTGACTCATCTCCTCTGCTCCCAATCACAGGTTTCAGCTCCCCCCTTAGCTGTCCCACAATATTTCCACAAGCGTCGGCGCCAACGAAATTTCGGGAGAGTTTCCCCTTAGCGGAAGTCACATCCAACCTCCAGATCTCCACTTAGGCACGCCCAGAGGCCATGGTGGGTCTAGGAGGGTCTTCACACTTCAGTAGATACCCCACAAAGTCCTTAATAAGCTCTGATACTTGTTGGAGACTAAGGACGGAGTCTACGAAGATTAGGTGCCTAAATTTCTCAAAATCGTTGGCTTAAAATTCTGGACAGAAACGTTGACTTCACAAGAAACGCCGTCAACGAATATTGCACCGTTAAACCTTCGCCAAATTCGGATATGCTGTCCTCCACTCCATCCCGCACCATTCCCTTTGTTGTTTCTGCTCCTCGGTTTCTCCGCGCACTCAAAAGCACGGTGCCCCATGTTTCCACACTGGTAGCACGCTCCCGAGCTCCTTCCAGCGGTTGCCGCATTCACCAACGCAGGCTTCTTGTATTCCATAGCCTTGATAAACTTCTCCTTTCGCTTCTGGTGCTCTCGTGCTCGCTCCAACGCCTGAAGCATGACAATAAGCTTTGTCATGTTTTCAGGTGGGTGGCAGATCAATGCTGGTCGCTCACCCGACCAATCCTCCGGTAAACCGTTGACGATGTGCCCTATCATCGCCTGTTCGGTTTCCGGCTCCCCCATCGCTGTTAAGTCGTCGTTGTAGCTCCTTGCCAAGTTGACGTAGTTGATAATCTTTTGATTCAGCTCCATAGTCATCAACAGCAACTTTTTCCTCACTAACGCGATGTTTGCGTCCATATGACCGAGATATGTAGACTCCATGTGCGCCCATGCCGCTTGTGCACAGTTCTCGCGCTCTGCAAATTCGTCCATGCCCACTGCAATCCCTTCAGCAACTGAATGACATAACTGAAAAAACGCATGCTTACTCCTCTTCTTGTACTCCCCCTTTTTTCGTCCGATCTCGCCTTACGGGCGGCTGCGTCACCTTCTCCATCCGGTCGGTAGCACTCCCAAAATCTGATTTCCTTCGCCCTCCTTATGAACTTCAATCGCCATGTACTGTAGTGTTGTCCGTGGAATCGTTGGGCTTCACTGCGCCCCATGGTGGGCTTCGTCACCACCCCTCCTTGCGCCAGCATTTCCAGAAGTGCCTTCACTTGGGGATCTCCAATACTCACAGAGGAGCCCGAACTAGCTTCCGATTGTCCGCCAAC